CTGGGAGAAACTGGGGCCAACAGTGAAGCAGCCAGAGGCTTTGGGGCTGAGCGCCAGACACTGCCATCGTGGGGAAAACCCAGACCCAACCCCTATAGGTGTGTTGTGCTCACTGTACATTTGCATTCATGAAACACGTGGTGTCTTGAGAAGACATGAAAGCCCATTATGATGCGGTTATGGGCTGTATCTCCAGAGGTTTGGAAATTCTGCGATGCCCCCTCTGACTTTGACGATAGTCGAATCTCTCAGTCCAAAGGGAAAAGGGCAGTATTTGTACCGCGACTTGCAGGAGATTTTATGGCTGGGAAGAACGATGAGATCCAGAGCTCCGAGCTGTCATTGGAGGCCTCCGGCATGGGGCGGGTGTGGGGAGCAGGCGCTTGTTCCTCTGCTGGAAACCATTCTCTCCATCCCGCCCCTGCCTGGTCTGTGGAGGTGGGCGACAAGGAGGAAATGGGCTCTCAAGAGAGTGTATTTCTCAGATCCCACTCCAGGAACTCAGGTCCCCTGGCTCTCCATAGAGCAGCACTAGCGGCTTTCCCAGCAGTCTCTCTCATGGTAAGATGGGCAGCCAGCTGATCTCAGCCTAGAAGGGCTGATGGCAGGGCATTTGGTTAGCGAAGGTTGTGGGGGAGGGGCTTGGCCCTACAGTAGTTGCCTGTCGCCTTCATGCTTGGGATTTTCCCTGGGTCTGAGGATTTTCCTTGTCTGAGGCTCCTGCTTCTGGAAGAGGAGCCAAGAGAAAATGTAGCTTGTGAGCTCTATGGTTGTGCTTGCTGCTTTCCTACCTCCAGAGGCGTATAGAGCTGTAAGCCAAGGTCAAAGATAAGAGTTGGACCCTGGGGGATGAAATGATTTGCCAGGATAACATGGCCAGTGGGAGATTTTATTTTATTTTATTTTATTTTATTTTATTTTATTTTATTTTATTTTTGCTGCTTGACTCTGTGACTTGCTTTGCACATGAAATGTGAGCATGCCGATGATTTTATTAGGCAGTGTGTGCTTTGTCTTATCTTCCCACATCCCTGAGACCAGCAATGGTCCCCATAGAGGCTGCTCCATCAGCCTGCAGCCAGAAGTCAAGATGATACAGGCACATGGTCCCAATCAACCCGTAATGCACATAGAAGATACAGCACTACCTGTGTTGCAAGCCAGAGATCATGGGGTCGTTTGTTACCATGGCATCTCCCAGCCTATCCTGACCGATACAAAGATCACAACCAGAACCCTGTCCCTCCACATCCGAGGTGGTGGATATTAAGTCTTTTCTTCGCGTGTTAGTTATCTATCCCAGCATGACAAATTACCCCCAAGCATAGGAGCCTAAAGCCACACGTGTGTATTAACCCAGAGTCTCTGTGGGTTAGGATCTGGGCATGGCTTAACCGGGTTCTTTGCCCCAGAGCTTCTCAGAAGGTTTCCGTCAGGGTGTTGGCCAGATCTGGGGTCTCGCCGGGAGGGTCAGCTGGGGAAGGATCTGCTTCCCAGTACACGTGGTTGTTGGCAGTACTCTGGTCCTCAGGGGCTGGGGAGTTGAAGGCCTCAGTTCCTAGCTGGCTGTTGGCCAGAGCTGTCCTTGGTTTTTTAGCCCACGGGCCTCTCTAACGTGTTCCTTGCTTCACGGAAGCATGCAAGCTTAGAAGGCAAGAGACCCGTCTGCTAGCAGGACGGAAGTCACCCTTCTTCTAACCTACTCACAGAAGTGACATCCATTGTGTTGGTCTTATCAAGCCACCTGTGTGTCCCCCCGGCTCTCCAGGGGAGGGGATTACACAGGGGGTTTGAGCTCCCAGGGGAGGTCGGATCATGTGGGGCTGTCCTAGCAGCCTATCCACCAGTTTGTTTTCGAAGGAAATATTGATTGATTGGGAGCTAGAGACCCGCCCGCCATCCATCAAATTTAAACAGACCCGCCAACCAAAAGCAGGTTTCGATGGTCAGATCACATGCGTATTTGATCCATTTCCATCCTAACTTTCTGGATTGAGGTAATTTTCTTTCAGGTGTTGATCCTTCTTGACAAAAGCCCACACGTTCTCCATGACCTAGCCCGCTGCAGCCCCTAGTCATTCCTTGTAAGAACAGAGTCAACAGAAGTGGCAGAACCTTAAAACCTTCCAGCCAGAAAGGACACACAAGAGATGACAGAGTTCTCAGGAGACCTTGTCTCCTCTACCCCGACCCCCCACCCCCAGCCTTTTCTCACTCAGTTACTGCTATGAAACGACCAACCATGAGGCTTCGATGCACACAACAGCAGAGAGGCGTTTCTCATTCACGTGTCTGCAGCTTGGCTGGAGGAGCTCTGTGTCCAGGATGGAAGTTCTGCAGGTCATCGAGGGGAGCTCTGCTCCCCAAGTTTTTCATTTTTCTGGGAATAGTGGGCTCCTGGATGTATATTCTGCTTATGGAAAGGGCAGGAACATAAGAAGGCAAGCCCAGGTGCCTAAGCACATTCCCAGCCTTTGTGTGCATGTCCTGTCTGCTAAGAATCCCTTTGGCCAAAGCCTGTCAGTGGTGTAGCTCAAGGTCAAGTGGGGGGATGTATGCTCTGCTGGCTGTGAGGCTGGGGAAGTCAATGGAGCAGACGCTTATTTCCCTCCCCATCCCTCCCTGTACCGCATTGAGGTTTCAAGCTTATGGAAGCACCCAGAATGGAAACATTTATACTTTACAAGTGGGTAAAGGCAGGTCTCTGCCTCGAGTCTCACTGGAGAGAAAGGACTGTATTTAGAGAAACTAACAATGTGGCACAGGCAACAGGTGATCACAGGCAGGCTAGGTGGGGCTCTGGAGTGGCTTTGGGAACAATAGAGAGGAGCAGTGGATCCACTCCTTTCTCTGGGTCCTGGAGAGGCTCTCTGGTGTCTGGCCAGGTTCTTCCCACGGGGAGGCACGCCCCACCGGCAGGCGCAGGGGAGGTGGTTTGGATGATAACGATATGGGGAGGAGGCACCTCCTACCTTTGAATCAAAGTGAGAGCCAGTTTCCCTTTCCTGGTGATCTTGCAACGATTCTGATGACAAGGGGGGTCTCCTTCTGGGCTAGAGAGTCCCCGATACCTCCCAGGCTGGCTGATAGATCCAAACCTCGGGTTCACGGACCCTTTCAAACAACAGGATTTGGCTAGGATATACTAACACTGGTTTTTTTTTTGGGGGGGGGGGTAATGTTTGTGTCTGTTAAGTTTGTCCTCTCTGGTGAATGGCACTGGTGTCCTGTTTACTGGGATGTTATAGGGCTTCCTTTTGAAATAAATATAGCTAAATAAACAGAGTTGATTTAAAGAAAAAACAAAAGTGAATGCTTGTCCACGTGCCATGTCTGATAGGGCAACAGGGCAGGAATGATGGCTTGGCCATGGTTAGTGTTTGGTAAATAGTGATGTGGTGGGAACAGAAGAGTGGGGCTTGCCCCTGTCTGTCTGGGTTCAAATCCACCCTCCATGTGTCCCAAGGGGCTCTTGGCAAGTGCTTTTAAGTAGCTTCTCTCCTTCAGTTTCTTCATGTGTTATATCGAAGGTAATGTTTGCAAAGTGATGGGACACAGTAAACACTCCCCAAAGGGTAGAAACCCACCTGCCCCAGCCCTTACCTGGACTGTCCATTCTGGGAGAGGCTTCTGAGTTCCCTCTGTCCTCCAGGGGGCCATGGGACAGCAGGTTGCGCTGCCCCTGCTGGTGCGGGGGCCCCTGACCTGGGCCTCTTCTGCAACAGCCAGACCCCATTCCCCTTCCCTTTTAAAGGCAGGGTCTCAGTTCACATGACTGTCTTTCTGGCCTGCTCCAGCCCTCCAGAAAGTCCCCTGCCTCGGGGAGGGTCGTCTTGAGCAGCCAGTAAATTCCAGAATTCAGAGAGATAGCAGATGAGCCACTGGAGCAGCTGGGAAACCTCAGGACCTTGGGGGGTGGGGTGGCCCTTTAGAGGGGGACCTGGATAGCCTAAGGATCTCTAATTTTCACCCAGGGAGGCTTTTCCCATGCAGAGCTTCCCAGCAGGATTGAAAAAAGACAGGCATCAGACTGTTTATTTTTAAAGATTTTAATTATTTGTCCGAGAGAGTAGAGAGCACAAACAAGCAGGGACAGAGTGGCAGGGTGAGGGAGAAGAAGGCTCCCCCGCAGAGCAAGGAGCCGAATGCAGGGCTCGATCCCAGGACCCTGGGTCAGGACCTGAGCGGAAGGCAACCACCCAGCCATCTGAGCCGCCCCGGTGTCCTGCACCAGCCAATTTAAACATGGCATTCCAGCCCCACCAGCTAGCGCACAATGAATTAGTGCTTCCTAAAGGTGTTTCTGATTCTCTCTTCTGTAGCACAATCTTCTGCCTTGTATTTTGGGGTGTATCCAGATAGCATTAGCCTGTTAAATTAAAAGCTTAAAATACACTGTCCCGTTGTGGCCCGGTTTTGGAATTTCTTCACTTTTTCCATATACTGACCGCGGCCTCCCCTCCACGGATGGGGCTTGGGTCCCTCTGGCCTCCTTCCCCATCCTCCCCACCGCCCCCCCAGAACCTCCAGAGCACATGAGTCCTCTCGGTTTCCAAATGGGGAAACTGAGGCGGGACACGTGAAAGACAGGGTCACGAAGAAGAGCGCCCGAGAAGGGGTTCTGAAGCAGGGAGTCGGATTCCAGAACCCTCGTTCTTCACCCTTACGGGAAGGAAGGGAAGAGAAGAAAGGGGGAGCCTTGGGACCAGGGAGGGGAGGGAGTGGAAACCCGTCAAAGAGGGCGCGGGGGGAGAGACTCCTGGCTCGAAGGAGCGGCGCTTTTCTCCCTCTTTCCCCAACCCCGCGACAGACTCCGCCCCAAACTTGGCCCGAGGAACGCGGGGAGGCGGCAAGGGGGGACCGGGGGCGCTCCCGGGGCTGCGGCCTTTCCAGCCGGCGTCCCCCTCCCGCCTGCCGCCGTCCCTCCCACTCGGCTCTCCCTGCCCCTGACATCACGCCCCGGGAGGCGGGATCCGGGAAGGAGGGGACTCGGGGAGGAGGCTCCGCGCCACGGCAAGGGAGGAGGGCGAGCGCGCAGTCCCAGCCCAGAGCTTCAAAACAGCCCGGTGGCCGCGCGTCGCGCCCCAGCCCGTCCGTCCGTCCAGCCGCCAGCGCCTGGTGAGTGGGGTTCGCCCTCCCCGCGTGGCGCGCGCAGGACGCGGGGCGCCGGGGCCACGTCGGGGGGTTGCGAGCAGCGTGTGCCCTGGGGAGCGGGCCGCGAGCCCCCGCACCCACGGAGGGGCGTCTCTGCCGTGGGTGGGGGGGTAGGGAGGAGCCGAAGCCCATCCGTACCGAAAACCCGCCGCTCCTCCGCCAGACGACCCGGGCGCGGACGTCCCCCGACCACTGCGCCGAGTTCGCCCCGGACCCCGAATTCCACCTCCCCACCCCCGGACTGCTTCCTGCGCCTTTTGCGCCGAGGCGGGCGGGAAAAGTTTGGGGAGGAGTCAGGGCGGCTCCCCTCGCCCCCGCCAGCCGCGCTCCCAGGGCTCTCGGAGTCCAGGGCAGTCCGGCGTCGCGGAAAGGTCCCGGGCGCCTCGACGCAGGGTCCCCAGCCTCACCGAGCGGACGGGACCGGCGGGTCCCCTCCTCGGCCCCGGCGGCGGCTCCGTTGCGCCCCCCAGCGATGAGGAGCAACTTCCTTAGGTCTGGAGCGCTGGAGGAGCCTGGGGGCGCCGCTGGGATGATTGATTCTCGCTCCCCACTCTGGTTGGGGTTGGGGGGGGTGTTTGAAGACCCCAGCGTGGATTCCAGAGAAAGGGGAGGCCAGAGCTCGTGTATAGAGGGACTATACACTCTCCAAATCCAGGGTCCTAAACTTCACCCCCAGGGAGGTCCTAATTTGGGGCTGGCAGGGGAACATAACCAGGGGCCAGTGAAGGGTACTTGGATAGGACAGACACCTCGCAGGGCAAAGAACCCAACACCTTATTTTGGAATGAGGCAGACAGCCCAGTTTCAGGTTTGGGAAAAGCTTCACTACATCCTCCCAAAGATGTGTGTGTAGGGCGGCGGGGGGGGCGGGGATCTTTACCCTTGGCTGTGTCTGCTGTGGAGAGACCAGCCTGAAAAGGGACGGACAGAGGAGAAGTGAAGGGTTTGAGAAACGCAGCCCAGATCCTGTGTGATCCCGCTGATGGCACTGAGGAGGGCACATTTGTAGGGACAGAAACAGAAAGTACAGGTTACCAGGGCCTGGGGCAGGGGGTGGGGAGTTATTGCTTACTGGGTCTGGAGTTTTTGTTGGGTGAGAACATTTGGGATGTAGAGAGTGATGATGGTTACGTGACATTTTCGATGTATTTAATATACGTGAAATCTACAATTACAGGTGGTTAAATGATTGATAGGAGGTTATGTATATTATACCACAATTTAAGAAAAAAAGAAGTGCCGTCCCTGCTTCCGTCTGAATTAGTAAGGAGTCCCAGAGGTACTGACTGCTGCAGGTCACCTCTGCCCAGAATTTGGCCTCAGTATAAGGAAGTGGAAGGAGGCTGAGGATGGGGCAGGAGCCCAGGTTTCCCCAGGAGTCGAGAAGGGACCAAGATGAGAACCAAAGCTAATGGAGCATTTGCAGAGCACCTGGCAGTGTTCAGGGCGCCCACGCTCTCCCCTTCTGGAAGCCTCACCCAGCTGCCTCCATCCCCACTCCCAGGTGGCAGGTGGGGAGAGCCAGGCCAGAGACATGAAGTCAGTTTCTCAAGATCACTGAGCCAGTAAGTACCAAGAGCCAGACTTTGAACCCCCATGAGCCTCTCCCCAAGCCTTCCCTTTATTCACCTGGCAATGCCCTGGTGGGTTTCCTGGAATGCGGGGGAGAAACTTCTGGAGAAACCAGGGCCCAGATGCCCAGGGGGGCCTTGGCAGATGCCAAGCCCACAGTGGAGGGAGGGGCATGGGGGTGGCAGGAAGGCGCCAAACCTGTTTTCCCACTGAGGGATTTGTGATCCTCGGCCTCCACCCCCGCCAGGAACTGGGGAGTGGGAGTGAGAGTCTGAGAGCGGGCCACATAGCCTGGAGCCCCCTCTGCCCCCAAAGTGGGGAAACTGAGATCCACGTAAGACCTGGGGACCGGTGTTGGTGGTGGAAGGCACAGAGGTGGCCAGCCTGGTGGGGATGCTCTGGGGCGGCCGCTGCAGCACCCCACCCAGGGGGAGAGGTGGCACTGTGTTTGGCTGGCGTGGTCCCGTGTCCATGGCACAGCTCACGAGGGGCTAGCAGGGGCCCCGGCATGTGACTGTAAGCACAGGACATATCCGCTTGGTCACCCCGCCCCGCACACACGTGTGTTTTATAAGGCCCTCTCTTCCTGGAGTGGAAGCAAAAGTTTCGCCTAGGTTTCCTTTCTCTGCCTCGCCTGTGCTATTCCAGGCAGAAGCTCAACCCACGTGTGTGTGCGCACAGACTCTCCATTTTACGGCAACAGGTGATTCAGAGGTTGACTCGACCGCCCGATTTTCATCCCTGGGGACTCTCCTGTCCGGCTCTGCCGCCTTCCGGGTGGATGGGGAGCCCAGCAAAGGCCAGCCCTATGCCATAATAAACTCGGCCAGACACGACCAGGAGGGGAAGTCTGTCGAGACAAAAATATAGAAATGCCCTTCCAGGCCAGATGGGATGGCGTTGGATTGTGGCCACTGTCCAGCTCCGTGGACAGCTGGGGCCTCTGACACAGGCCACGGGGAGCTGCAGAGCAGGGTGGTGGCAGCCATCCCTCAAAGGGGTGACAAAGGGAGGTTGGGGTCCCAGGCGCTGGGATGGGGAGTAGAACCCTCCCAGAAGAGGCAGGTGAAAGTCCATGACGAGCCTCCTGGGAGGAAAAACTGGCTCTGGACGCATGACAGGGCTTAGGAAAGTAGGCAGTTGGCATGAGCAGCTAGAATTGGGGACAGGAGGCAGCTGGTGCTGTGGACAGACTAGAGGCCTGACTCTTGGAGGTTGGCTTCAGCTCGTCCTGGGAAAGGATGGGGGTGGGGTTTGGGATGGCGGGAAGACGAGGCTCCCCTCCTTGCCCCAGGAGGGATGGAGTCTGGCTTCCTGCAGGAGTTACCCAAAGAGGGCAAAGAGTGGAATCGTGTTCAGACGCATCTGGCTTTCGTTAGGGACAGGCCAAGGGGGGAGTCTAAAAATATCAGAGCCCGAGCTGCCACCCAGGGAGAGAAAGTGCTGCGCTAGTAACTTGATACCCGGGTGGGGGCTGAGGGGGTGTCTCTGACGCAGGAGAACCAGCGGAGCTCTGTTCCAGTCACTTGGGCTCTTCCAGGCAGCCAAGCCTTGGGCGGAGGCCTGGGGTGAGGCCTGGCGGTGAGAGCTCTCTGCATTCAGGCCAGCCATGGGCTAAGACTGGGGGGATTTCAAGGGCATGAGAACCTTAGGAAGTCCCAGTCTGACAATGAGAGACCCACAGTGGGGGGGGGGTGTCACCCAAGATCACCCACGACTTTGGCAGTGGAACCAGGACTATATCTGGATGTAGGGACTCAGTGCCCAGGAGCCCAGTGGCTTAGGACTGGTCCTTGGGATTCCAGGCCAGGTCCCCAGGGTCAGGGTCCCACTTGGGATGCTGGGTTTCCACGCTTACGTACTAATGGGAGCAAGGTGGGCAGGAAGCCATGCTTAGGCAGTGGGTCACTTCCCACTGGGCACTGGGTCACTCTCGGGCACAGACTCTCTGCAGACTCTGGAGATGTTGGCCCATCCTGGGGTAGGATGTAGCGAGGAGGGGGGCTGGAGGCGAACCGGCTAAATGAGTCCCTCCCTCTTTCCCATTTGAAGACACTGTTGGTTTTGTTCACGCAGTATCTCGTCTACCTAATGAGTCGTCATTAACCAGAATAATTGAATTGCTCTGGCCCTCACCGTCCTTGGGAAGCAGGGCTTCTGTTGATCTAAAAGGGAACTGAAGGTGAAGAGGTGGCCCACACTCCCGCCCCCCTGTGGACGGGTTGGATGACCTCGGCTTCTAGAAGCTTCCTCGCACTCCTACGTCTAGAGCTGGGGGAAGGGTCACCAGCGTGACATTCAGCATCAAGGTGATCTGGAGAAATACACGCGTGACTTGGTCAGCTGTCGCTATGGAGGATGGAGGGATGGACAGTTCCGTCCGTCAGTGCAGACTCCCTTAGAGAAGAGGCACTTTGGAGATTTCGTGTTCTGAAGCTTCTGATCACCAGCTTATGTGGCAAACGGCCTCCCCTCAAAAATAAAATAATAATAATAATAATAATAATTAATTTTAAAAATTTGCAGTGGAGGGCGCCTGGGTGGCTCAGCGGGTTAAAGCCTCTGCCTTCGGCTCAGGTCATGATCCCAGGGTCCTGGGATGGAGCCCCACATCGGGCTCTCTGCTCAGTGGGGAGCCTGCTTCCCCCTCTCTCTCTCTGCCTCTCTGCCTACTTGTGATCAATTAATGTCTTTTTCTCAGTTGCTATTTTGAAAAAAACATAAATTGCGCCCAGACCCATAATATCCCAGATACTTTTGGGTAGAGTGAAACTAAAGTGGATGCTTTCAACTTTAAAAGTTTTTAATTTTTAAATCCTTCTTTTTTTTTTTTTTTTTTTTTTTTTTTTTTAAGGTAGGCTCCATGCCCAGTGTGGAGCCAAACACAGGGCTTGAACTCATGACCCTGAGATCAAGACCTGAGCTGAGATCAAGAGTCGGACTCTCGACCGACTGAACCGCCCAGGTGTCCCAACTTTAAAACCCTTTTTTAAGTAATCGGGGGATTTCATGAATCAGCGTGGTGACCCGGGGCAAAAATCTTAGGTCTGGAGTGAAGGACATTTCGGAGTCAGCATACGGGACGGAACAGTTCACACTTAACGCGTCCGATCCAGGAGCAGCTGTGAGCTCTCTGCCCAAGCTTCTCCTTTGCAGAGACGCCCCTGTGTTCCGCTCCTAGCCCCTCAGCTTCCCAGGGAGTGTCTCCATCTTTAGTGAGGGTCATTTTGCTGCTGGGATGACCTTGGACGTTGTTCTAGGTATTGGAGACGTTGGTGCATTGATGAAGACAGAAGCGGCTTGCTTGAACTTGGGGAAGGCCGAGGGAGAGGCTGGCTAGCCCGCTTTCATCTCGATGGGTATTTTGAAGAGCTCTGTGCAGGGAGCAAAGG